CTTAGAGGTGTATCTTCTTTGGTCTAAAGAGATAGCTTTAAAGATGTTCTACACTCGCTTCGAGCCTAACCCAACGACTCCAAAATAACTTTTCTCTATGGAGGAGTTGAAGGATGCTTTATTCAAAGCTGAAAAAGAGAAGAAGACGTGGGAGGATAAACATTTCATGGTTGTTCAAGAGAACGAAGAACTATGGAAGCCGCTCCGTCAGAACCAGAAGGAAGATGAAGCTTCAAGAAGGGGAAGGGTCTTCTTGTTAGAAAGACTAGGCCTTTTAGTTTCAGTTTCCTCTTGTAATTTATTTCCACAACTCGACTTTTAATCTCTTTTCCTGTAAAACTTTCATTCGTTAATGAAAATGTTACTTTGCTTTTCTTTTTTCCCCATTATTAATGTTTGTAAACATAATTTGGGGTTCTTTGAATGTTAGCTTCGCATTTGCATTAGTATTGCATATCCATTTCCTGTTCTGTGGCTTATCTGTGTTGTTTTACCTCCAGTCTGTCACACTGAGTCCTCCGCATCCTTACAACACAAGAGATCAAGCCCGAAGGAGAATGGTCGAGCAAGATTAAGAGTTTGACAAAGTCAACAATGAGTTGGATGACATACAAGGCAACATGGGCTAAATGATAAATATGTTGCAAGTGATATGTGCAAAGATAGACACTCAATAGACTGTGGTTTATGAGATCAATGCCACAGTAATGAAGCTGACACTAGTTGTAACTGTTTCCACCAATAATCCACCCTTTGGACTACCATTTAACTTTGTACCACCGCTAGTCACTGTGAAGACTACACAACAGATACCTCAGCAAACCATTCCTCTAAATGTTAATTTTCCTCATACTATCCCTACTTACACTCCAGCTGTTGTGCAAGCACAAGCACATCCATACTTCAACAACCAACATCAAGTTTACGATATCCCCGACCAGTCGGAAGAAGGATATGAAAGCCATGAGAAGATGAGGGAATATTTCGAAACTATGGTGAGAAATATCAAGGCTATGGAAGGTAATGGCATATTTGGGGCTGATGCGAGAGACATGTGCTTGGTTTCTGGATTAGTGATTCCTCCAAAATTCAAAATCCCCGTTTTCGAAAATATGAGAGGGTTACTTGCCCGAGAATCCACTTGATCATGTACTATAGGAAGATGGCGGCCTATGTGGAAAATGATAAGTTAATAATCCATTGTTTTCAAGACATTCTTAAGGGCGCTTCAGCTAAATGGTACTTGAGTTTGGACCAATCTAGAATTCACAATTTTCAAGACTTGTCTGATGCTTTCATCAAGCATTACAAATACAACATGGATTTGGCTCCGGGCTGAAGACAATTGTTAAGCATGGCCCAGAAAAGTTCTGGATCCTTCAAAGAATATGCTCAACGTTGGAGGAAAACTGCCTCCATAGTAGAGCCCCCTCTGACCGAAAAAGAACTAGCTGATTGGTTCGTGGACACCGTAAGGCCAGAATTCTACGAGAGGATGATTAGCAATATGAGCGCTAACTTATCTAACATTGTGGCTGTGGGAGTAAAAGTAGAGTTTGGATTAAAAAATGGAAAGATGACATGTATCGCTGGTAGTTCAAGTGGAAAAATCCTTTGGAAATGTCCATAAGAAGAAGGAAGGCGAGACCAATGTCATTTCTGCAGAAAGAAGAATTTAGGCCAGAAAACCTCAACATCAGCAACAATTTTGACAACAACCATCATACTCTGTGCAGTACACTCAACAACCCTATGTGGCGGCCATTACGCCCACCTTTCACAATCAAACTCCGGTTTTTCATCTAGATCAACTGCCATACGTATATCAGCAAGGCTATCAGAAGGCGTCCAATGCCTCAACCTATCAATAACAACAACAACCTAGGGCTCCAATCCCTAGACAAAATGTACAAAACAGAATACCTGGGGGAAGACATGAACCTTACTTGATATGGTGAATTTGCATACCCTTGTTGTTACATGATAGTTATTGCTTTTTTTTTCAAGTTCGTGTTCATATGTGAATACATGTTTGAATATCCTAAAAAACATGGTTGTAACCTTGCCCTTTACATGTGATTCACTTCTATGATCAATTGATTTGAATGTGGATATGCTTCATGTCTCTCATACCTTTCCTTGAGTATTCTTAAACACTTGTTATTTTCATTTGAAAAATATTTAGTATGCATGAAACACCTTTGAGATGTTTCTCATCTTCCATGATTGAATTATTTTTACATGTTAGTTGTTACCTTCTTGTTTAACACGATTCACCATAATTCACATGTTGTTGTCACACATGTCACACCCTTTTTCAAAGATGTTTTGGTTGTTACCTCTACTTTACTTGTATCCATGCTTTAAATATTGTTATGATTTATGCATGTTGATCTTAAATTTTGAACTTTTCCATGATAAGTAATGTTTTAACTTATGCATGTTTATCTTGAATTTTGAACTTTGCCATGATAAGTAATGTTTTTACTTATGCATGATTCACTTGTACTTGTCATCTATGATGTTTGGTCTTGTAAGAACCTATTTCATATTCATTTAGATGTTGTAACATCTATGTTTACCTTTGGTTGTAACCATTTGGTTTAATTCTAAACTTCTATGGATGAATACTTGGTTGTAACCTTGTTATTTGTTTTGCTTGATGTTGTAACATGTTTGCTTTACTTTCTTGGTTGTTTCCATGATTTTATATCTTCATCATGTTTGAATGAATATGTATGCTTAAGCTTTGCTAAATCTCCCCAAGTGATGTAGCTTGTTAGCTCTCATCCCAAACAAGAGTTACCTTGTGTTCCTAAGTCCGACGGAAAGTCTCTGTATTGACTCAATGTCATAGATAGCTCATTTATTCTCAAACCTCCCTTTGACCTTGTTAGAGTCATTAGGACTTTCAACTTAGCCTTAAGTTAGAACCCCCTACCTTTTAACTTTGTTAAGTCAAGACCTTTAGCACACCTTGTTATGAATCCTATAACTTAGAGCCTAGGACTAGAGTTTGTTAACTCTATGTGTGTACCATTGTTATGGGTACTCACCTTTCCCCTCTTGACTTTTGTTAAAGCCAAAACCCTAGTTAGTCTTTTAACTTAGACTTAGAGAGTTTGTTAACTCTATATAAGTATCATTGTTATGGATGCTTATTACCCTTGGAACCTTGACCATAATCAAATGTTCTTCACCCTAGTTAGGAGAACTACGGTTGCTCTGATTCCATCTTTGTTATGATACGTATGCACAAGATTCAATGTCTTGGGGAACATACTTAGTGCATATACCCATAGGTCTTTACCTTAGCACATAACCATTTAGCAAACAAACATCAAACAATAGCACAACTACCAAACAAAAGACTCATGTAGAATACTACAGATACCTATGGTGCCAATATCTTTCCTTAGTATAACCAACCCCCGAACCTCCGATCTCTTAGTTTCGTTGTTACGTAGCGCACTTAGGGTTTTCTTCGATCTTTACCCTTTTCTTTGGATAAATCAAAGCTCGGTGGTGAATATTTAAAGATTTGTGGTTCAAGTTAATCAATAGCTTGATATCCGATTCATACCGCAACAATTGGCTTGTGGATCTTGTATCACTGCTCCTCACCTGCCCGAACGCGCCATGCGACAGTTTGGGTACACCCAGACACCCTGTTGTCTTTGTTCGTCTTTCCTTGACTTGTAGACAAATATAAAAGATGTTTACTGATTATGAGAGTCATCCGGTTCTGAAGAAGGCATGGGCTACCATAGCACCGAACGATTAGAGTTATGTCAACGAATACATCAGGTGGTTCTTTAGAGTGTCACATTCGTACATGGTGTAGACTGTTCGAAGAGATCTGCCGATACCAACTCATCTAGAGATACCAGAGGAAGAGTAGGTTCAACTAGATCATAAAGTTAATGTCTTGCTCCGATGTCATCGTATAATAGAAAAACGCTTACTAATATTCATATTTCTAAACCAAATTTTCGTGTAGGAGCATTCCTACATTGATGAACATTTTCAAACTAAACAACGACACAATAACATGAATATCAATAGTTTACCAACACAATGGCTTTGGTGTTTGTGAAATAACGCTTACTCGCCACCGATATGTATGAACTTAGGGAACACACGTAATTAACTCTAATCACTTGAGACAAGTTAGTTACAAAAATAACAAACTTAACTAGCTTGCGTAATCATAGACTAATTATAGTTATTATAAGTAGTTTAGTTGCCTTCAATGTTGTGTAAAATTAATTTCTCCAAAACCAAAAATGGATAAGTGCAACATATAGTACAATATTTGCTAACTTTGTCCTACTTCTCGTTCCTTACTTCAACTTCCTCACAATCACAAATATTAAATCATTTTCTGGCATTAATGTTTAATCTCCTAAACCCAAGATTTATCAATGAATTTAGAGTTTCATCCTAGGATCCACATACAATCATATCAGAATTAACAAACAGTGTCTAATAATGTGACAGCAAAGAGAATAATATAGCAAGACAACATAGAACAGTCATTTAACTCTATCCTCCCTTCCTTCAAAACGAGGTTGGTAATAAATTACAGCCAAATAGCCAACACAAAGACACCATTGATCTTAAAACATGAAGTTGCTGATCATTCAAAATTATACCAGCACGTCTCCACCGTAAAGATGTGAAAATGTTCGCCTATATCACCTAATAGCCACGACACGCATGGAACTAAAGGATTCACAATTGTAAAATAAGTAAAGTTTGAAGTGTGTCCAACTAGTCTCCTGTTAATTGTCCATAAATTTATCACAAACCTCCGCCTGAAATAAATGAGAATGCAACACTTCAGTAAGAACATACTAGACATATTTTTAAAAATGACCTTAGTTACCTATGTATTTTCCTATAAAATAGTTAAAAGAAGAACCAATAAAAAACATATTACTTGCCTTGTTTCAAAAAGCACAACAGCCTCAAGAAGGGATTGAGAATCTCATAGATTCCTAAACAGCCATCTTCATTTCTATCTTCTGGTGAGGATCATAGCCTATGAGTTTGAAATCAGCACCCACAAAAGAATCTATATCTTTCTTCTTTGGATTTATCTTCAAAATCTGAAATAAATTTAGGTAGTCAACAAGAAAAAGGCAATTAATGCGAGTGCTTAAATATAAAAATCTTGTAGGCATCTACATCAAAGCAAATGATTTTCTTATACACGCCCACATACCGGAAAAGGTTTTGGCAGGTTTTGGAGCTGTTCCTGCAAAGGCCTCACATGATTGCGATAAACATGTGTATCCCCAATAACATGGATAAAATCACCTGGAACAAGGTCTGACAAGAGTGATGGATAGTCAGTTGTAAATTTTCCAACTTCAAAGTTCAAACTCTATCAAACCCATAAATGTACATAATTAAGGTGTCTTGTACATCCAAGTACATATAATTTGCTTACCACAAACATGAGCAATCATGCATGTTAAGAGCGCATAAGATGCAATATTGAACGGCACACCCAGGCCCATATCGGCAGATCGTTGATACATTTGACATGATAACTCCCCATTTGCTACATAGAACTGCACAAACCAAAAATGAAGTAGAGAAAATTTTAAAATAGATATACACCTACACGTACACATACATAGTTCTAAAGAGAAACCCAAATATAGCTGCAGACCTGTGCAAACATGTGGCAGGGCGGAAGTGCCATTAATTTAAGATCAGATGGATTCCATGCTGAGAGGATGATGCGTCGATCGTCGGGATTATGCTTTATCTTATTGATAACATCTAAAAGCTGATCAAATCCTTGGTTGGAGTAGTCTTCATGCATGTTAGTATACCTACAAAATATGAGACATTAAGCAAAAAGCTAACGGATCCAACAAAATAGTGTAATGACGGGCATAGAGAAAGGCACAATCCACCTACTTTGCACCAAAGTGCCTCCACTGAAACCCATAAACAGGTCCTAAGTCACCCTGCTCCCTTTCTTTCAAACCAATGCTGAAAAATAAATTGCAGATCCAGTTAATAACTGCATGGAAAAGAAAAATTTGTAATAAATAAACTAATCAATAGTCATGCTTGCCTATCAAGGTATTCTCTCGATGCATTGCCGTCCCATATATGAATGCCTTTTTCTTGCAGCACCTGTTAAAATAGTATTTTTAAGAATAAAATTCACCGCAGTCATTAGTATATCATATCCAATGAATCAATGTGACATTCTTTGGGAATCTAGGAGAAGTACATCATGCAATACACTAGTATAATTGAATTTTGATCCAGAAGAATAGCTTGAGAACCTAGGAGAGCAAAATAATAGCTGCTTACCTAGCCACAAGTCTATCTATAGATTCTATATTAGAAGCCAAGGTCAAGTGTTCAAATAATATCAAGTACACCAGCCTCAAGTTCCCCAATATTTGGCCTGTTTCAGGTAGTTTGTGAATTGTAACCTAACTACGAAATGTCACGTCTCCTTATGTGTGTGTGCACCCGTGTGGGAAGATTGGAAAATGGAAAATTATATCATTACCTTGGCATTTGTTGAGCCACTGATAAACCAAAGAAGTTCTTCAACAACCCCTCGCCAAAATACTTTCTAGAAACCAAATGAAGAAATCATGTCAACTTTTGATTCAAGGTAGCAAACACAAATAATAATTACATCCAAATAATAGAAAAAGAAAAAAGAGAACACATTAAACAAATAACTTTCCACGGTAGATTATACAAATTTTGAATCAAAAGTTGGACATACCTTAGTTGTTAAAAGTGGAAAGCTTTTTCGCAGATTAAATCTCATCTGGAAATTATAGAGGAGGTCAGCATGTAAATCATAGAAACTCCACAGCAAACAAACCAATTAAAATGTTACCTTGGAACCAAATATGGATAAGGTACCAGTCCCGGTCCTATCGTCCTTAGTTGTACCTTCAGAAATGATTTCTTCAACTAATCTAAGATACTTGTACTCCTCGTGTCTCTCAAAAATAATCTTGGGAAGAAAAGAAAAATCTTTGACCTCAAATTTTAGAGAGTTTGAACTATCATAAAGAATTGGATCAGTATTCAGACCCTGGGACTCTTCTGTTGAACACCTTACGCGCACATAAGTGTTAAAAGAATAGCGGATGCCATTTTCCACCAAAGGAAAAGACGAGTACCACGGATGAAATACAGAGAAATCAATTCGAGGCATAAAAGTGTCACACTCAATGCTAGCTTCAATTTCTGTAATATGGATGGCTTCACATCCAGGTCCATGAAGCGCCTCTCTGTACATGAAAATCATCAGATCGATACAACAAAGAAAGAGCTTCACGTGATTATGAAGATCATATAGATAATATATACCTAAATATCTCACCGCCGCCCGTAAGAAAAACTTTCTCAATTGAAAGACAGTAAGGAGAAGCGGCCAACAGTTCCATAGCAGACGACACACTTCCACATATAAGAACATTCTCTGCAGTTGCAATATCAAAACTACCCGAGCGAGTCAGAACAACATTAAGACGGCCACTGAGAGGCCTGCTCTCGGGAGGGATAGCCTCCCATGATTTTCTACCCATTACAACAGCATTCTTCTTCTTAGGATCAGATGTTATTGTTGTGATGTCCTCAAAAAACTTTTGATCAGTAGGCAATGTCCATGGCAATATCCCATCCTTAGAAATACCCATATCTCGGGTTGCAATCACTACTGCTTGGTAAGTCCTCTGAGGATTCGGCTGTGAGTTGTCAATGTCATTTCCATTGGCGATTACCAAAGAATCACTAGCCATAACTTGACTCAAAAAGCCTACACAAACCAACTTTTATGCAAATGCAGTGGAATCTGAACCTGGCAAAGTAGTACTAAATCAAAACACTGCGAGATGAAACACACGTGCTACAGAGATAATCACAATACAAATCAAAGCACGAAAAAAAATCACGAAACTGATCAAGACAAATGGCTATCTAATATGCTTAACCTAATTAACTGATTTGTAATATCTAATATCTAATCATCAATGAACATAGTCTGTGTGTGTGAAGCTCCAACAACAACAAATGCATCATATTCATACAAATCAAAATAAATAAATAAAAAATAAAAATATGTGAAAATGTGAAGAATGAGTTAACGGATCTGACAAAGAATGACGAGATTCAGAAAGGTGTCTGATCTAGAAACGTTCTGCAGAAGCTCCCACCAACTACTTGCTTCAACAATATCGAGAAAATCTAAAAGAACAAAAGGAACAAAAGGAATGGGAGAAAAAGAGAAGTGGATGAAATTGAAAGTGAGAGAGTAGAAAAAGTGCCTCGGTTTTCAAGGAGAAAAAGAGTGAGTGGGAGATAAGGAAAATTGAAAACTATGGTTGACAAAATATGCCGCCAAGTAGCGTATGAGAATGGGTTGTCTACATTACTACCGTATTTTCATTCGTATACTGTGTTTGTCATGTACATAATGGTCCACATTAGTGTGTGTGGTTTTTAATAGTTATCCAAATATGTCATAAATGTTCTAAATTAATATAGCTCAACTATACTTGACCAAAAGAAAAAATAGCTCAACTATAATTTTCTTGCATAAAGTTTACTATATTTAAACTAATATAATTATTAATCACATAAATTATAAATTATTTTGATATGTTAAATACAATAAATTATTATCTATTATGTTTGATATGTTTAATACAAATAAATTATTATTTTTTAATTTATAAAAGATTATAAGAATATTTGGATAGATGAAAAAATATATAAGGCATGAGGATGGTAGTTCTCAAACACCTAAAAAGAATAGGGAACTAACACTCATTGAATTGAGGTTCTTTTTAAATTTAAATATGTTATGTTTGAAGTCTTCTAACAAAAAGAAGAGACGGTATATATTATATTATTATATTAAAATCACATATATAATTAATAATTCAATTATAGGTTTAAATAGTTTTATTATATTAGTTTGATCATTAATCAATTGAGACTTCTAATTGATAAATAATTATATAATTGAATATATATATATATATATATATATATATATATATATATATATATATATATATATATATATATATATATATAAAATAATATTAAAATTATAATAATTAAACAAAATATTTTAATAATTACTCAATTATATGATATATTTTAAATTTTTTATACGTGTACACGAATATAAATATTACATATGTTTAGATTTTTACGTTTCAATTAATAGGATACTTATGCGTTCGCGCAAGTCCTAATATATTATGTAATATTGATTGAGAAAGTGTTGAAATAAAAAAAAAAAAGAAAACAAATGTTTTTGTAGCCAAATATATATTTTAGAGTACTCGATTAGTGATTTAAATCAAAATAAAAACTAATAAAATAGAGAAGAAGGATGTGGGATAGGTAACATTAAAAAAATTAAAGAAAAATAAATATTATTTAATAATGTATTAAATAGTGTAAGATGGTAAAAAGTAGAAGAAAAGTGAAACATGTAGTTTAAAAACCTTTGATATTAGAGAAAGACAAAGTTGCAGTCAGTGGCGTGGATAAATGAATCAATACAATGAACAATAACTCAACCATAAATAGCATAAGAGTAATCTAAACAGGTTCATAGCACACACATTTGTGAGGAAGTTGTACAATATGTTTCTTCTTCATCCTCCAAGCATGACCAGTCTGAAAGGAATTTCAAGTGGTGTAGGGTAGGAGAAAAAGATTTTATGTGCATGTTTGTTTATTTGAGTCGTGTATCAATATCTTATATAATGCAAGTTATGTGTTTTTTAAAATCCGGTGATGCATGTCTAAAAGAGAAAGAGTTAATCGATGATAATTTTTGAAGTCTTTATGCTAAAGCATCAGAAGGAAAGGAATGTGTGAGAGCAAAGTTCCTCATATTTAACTATACTTGTTTTAATGATGTCAAAACATACATAGGTAGAAAAATATATTTTGGACGGTATCATCAAGTCGCATATGCATACCTTATTTTTCTTGCGTCAAACATTGGTCAAAAACATGTTTAGGTTAGAGATATGTTAGGGTCTCTTAAAAGTAGCTATATATGTGGGTAGGGGGGGGATGCATTTTTGCATATTCTGAGTCTTTGAGTCGACTCATGGGCTGTTTAGGTCGACTCATACAAAAGTCATTTTTCATGTATCGACTCATAATGTGTACATTTCTGTTTGTCTAAATTTGTGTCCTTTGCGTCGACGCATGACTTGTTCCGGTCGACGCAAAGTGTTGTTTTCTGCATAGTCTGAAATCAGGAGAGCTTAGGTTGACCCTCCCTTTTCTGTAGGTCGACCGCTCGCGCGTTTTTCACCAAAATTTTGTTATGTGAAACTTTCAAAGTGTTTCTTAAGTTGGTTAATTGTTTCCACACTTGCATATATATATATATATATATATATATATATATATATATATATATATATATATATATATATATATATATATATATATATTGAGTTAGCTCATTCTTCAGACAATAACAAGAAAAGCGAAAATATACATTGATTTGGTTCTCATTATCTTCATCCTTTCTCTTGCATTTTCTCAACAATTACACATAATCATTTTTGTTGTGTATTTTGCATCATTGAGGTGATAACGTCCAAACGTAGGATTGGTGTAATCAGGTTTGGGTTGAGAAATCAGTGAGTTTTTCTTGAATAAAATCGTTAGGGTTTTGTCCTCCAAGAATCTTGGATTTTGGGGGGTTTTTGCACAAATCGGTCCATCATAGGTTCAGCCGAGCGAAGGAAATTGAAGCATGGGAGTTTCTGTCAGTTTAGTAGCAGTAACTGGAGGATTGTGATAGGAAGATTTGGGTTCTAATCGTTGGTGTTTGAAATCAGTCGGGTAAGATGTGAAGACCAAGGGGTTGTTCAAAAGGAGTATCGTAATCGGAGGTTTACTCATCATGTTCAAAGGACTTGATTCAGCTTGAATCAAGGGAAGAGAAGGCATAGGCTATGCATCAACAATTGGGTTTGATTGTTTGAATTCTATTGTTTCTCTTGTAAACATTTACAAACGGGTTATATATATAGGTCTCAATTTTATTTTTAGAATTGAGGACAGACGTACCCCGAGCGAGGACGACAGGGGAACTGCCTAAAAAAATTGGTGTTCTCTCTTTACTTTTTCCATTGCTGAATTTTTGAGTTTGTGTGCGAACAATTTAGTTGATTAAAATTCTGGTGTGTGTAGTGCTGAACCATTTTTAGAAACCTTATTACAATCCCTAATTGTAATTGAATACTATAGCACTTCATTCACATATTGAAATTCACTTGAGGTGCCTTACACACCAAGTGTTCAACTAATTGCATGAACACAAACACTTGTGTTGTCTTTTCAATTGGGTTATATTTTACACGCATTGGAAACTATCCAACCTTAAAGTGAACAAAATCTAGTTGATATGTGTTCAAATTAGTGATTCTAAATCTCGTCTTTATCAGATTCCATAGGCTTTGCGTATATCTGATCTTTTCGGTAAAGGTTCGTTTAGACAAATATAGTTCCACGACCGCTTCCGGTTAAAACTTTTTAAAAACCAAATATTGATAAGCGCTGACTCTGTTTTTAATAAGTGATCTATTCAACCCCCCCCCCTTCTAGATTTGTGTCGTCGTCTAACAAGTGGTATCAGAGCCTGGTTAATTTCATGTTTCGCATATAACTTCTTAGAATATGGCAAACGAACCAAAAGGGGCATATAATAGAGCACCTGTTTTCAATGGTGAGAACTATAGTTACTGGAAAGATTGTATGTGTGTGCATATAAGTTCAATTGACAGGAAGGTATGGAACATTATATTGAACGGTCCTATGGAAATAACCATGACCGATAAAAATAACGTTGTTGTGCCTAAGCCTGAAGCACAATGGAATGATGAAGATGAGAAAAAAGTACAATTACGATTGTGTTACGGTGAGAATAGGATATAAAATTCATCAAAATATTTCCAATCCCTTCTTTTAAAATCAACATCTCATAGTGACCCAAACCTCTCAATAGGTCATATTGTACTTGACCCTTGGATTAATTGCCACTCCAATAAACCACATATTCTAAACTGATGAAGTTTTTGACCCATGCGACGAAGACACATTCTTTTATATATTTCCTTGAATACAAAGTATGCGAACTTGTGTCATACCCCAAATTTGTCCTACCTATATCTTTTTTGTACTATTGCCCATCGACAGTTGTTCAGAAAATAAAAATAGTTTGTTTCTTATATGTTGTTTCCAACTCAAGAGGTTATGGGGTCGAAATTGAATTGAGGATCATTGGAGATTTATTTGTACGAATACTGAGCTCAGTAAAGGTTGAAAGTTAATTAGAAAACGACATGTTGGATGAGATTTGGATTCAAGTGGTGATTAAGATCGTATATCATTGTTCAAGTTTAAATACGAGTGTGTCATGGGAATTGCAAGGAAAATAGGTGTGATTTGAATATGAGGTTGACATAATATTTGTCAAGCCCAAGTCGAAGTTTATACGAAATTCATACTACATTGTTCAAGAATTCAAAGCCCACTTTGTCATTCAAAAATTCAAAATGGCGGGTTATAGTATGAAGTTCCAGGGTGCACTAGTTCAGATGGTTGTGGTGGCAGTTAAAGTCGTGAAATTAAGTTTTGGTCAAAGAAACGTTGCAATTCAAGTGGGTAATTGCTCCCAAAGTTTGATATAATTCACATTCAAGACAACAATATTGGATATAAAAATCTGTTTCCATGTGTATAAAAAATTACAAAC